TAACAGTTAATCCGCCGACCCCGATCTAGGCCGATGAACGTGAGCGTGAGCGGAGCGGGGCCGGTGTGTGCCTGGTGAACGGCTCCGGTGAGCCGTGGGCGATGTCACGCTGCCCACTTGCCACAAAACACTTGTCCAAATTCTTCTTCTGTGGGACCATCAAGGCTTGCTTTGCGAGAAAAGCGTTGCCCAGGATTTGGCCCCGGGCTCGACTCCCCTGCGTCTGCGTTGAAAAGTGTCGGAGAGCTTCTCCGGCGTGGGCCGCGTGGGCGTGGCTTCAACTCGATCTGCTAAAGAATGCCGTCGATCAACAGGTTGATGAATCATCATGAGTTAAAGTATGTTCATGACTCTCTACCAAACCAGGAGGGAAGTCTCATCTTCCACATACTCCACACCTGCTAGACCACTCCACTATGGGCCTCCGACCATACAAACATTCAGATATTGATTTGACCATATTGAGCTAAAGCAATGCAACAATTTAAGGTTCCATGATGGTTGATGGTCTTTCTAGAAGAGGGACAGTCTGTTGCCGGTCTGTAATTCTATGTGTAGCTCCAAAATGGAGTAACCAAGTCGTTGGGTCAGGTCAGTCCTTTTCTTCCGTCACATGGGCGATGACATCATCACTCCCATCCCGTCGGTGTCTCTAAGGGCCGTGCAGACAATGTGGCCGGGTCAAAGCGCCCACCGAATTCAGTGGTCGTCGTGCGCCACGCGACCTCGAACAAAAAGCAAATCCCAAAGAACACCGAGCAATTCTGGAATTTGTTCAGGTCCAGGCCAATAGAAGTGAAATGAGTGTTCAATGATTAGCTGTTCTCTGGGGGGGCGCCACTACAGTACTTTCCACTCGACACACCTGGGGCCTCATGCACTGCAGATGGCTGAGATCGCCAGGCCAAGACTGCCAGGTGGATCAAGAAGCCCCGCACACATCAGTCCGATTAGAATGCATTCAGAATCTCCGGAACGTTCTGACTCGATTAATCATCTCAGCTGATAATCTTGATAGCACTTGATAGATCTTGATACATGTCCATCCCTGTTTCAATTCCTGTCCAGTTTCCCTGCAGTCATAGTACCTTTGACCCGCCTGGACTGACATCTTCGGCCAACCGTCACACCATGGATCCCTCATGATCCTCATGGTCATGTCATCCACCGCTCTTCACGCGGTCACTCAGCGGAGTTCACGGAATCGTGCCAGGTGGACGCCAGCAAAGCTCCCCGACGCTTCGACCATGGCCTCGGATGGGTGCGGGGACGGTCACGCCACGTTGCTCGCCCAGTTCTAGAGACGGATCGATTCTTCGGTTACGAAGGCCACTGAAGAAGCGTAGGATGAACAAAAGGACGTGACCTGCTATTCTCCACCTCTCTCAGTTGCAACCACTTTTCTGGTCACAGACATAAATTCTTGCGTCCAACTCTGGGCTGCATCTGCTTTACAGCAGCGCCCGCAAGTCTTTGCGACACGTTGGACACAAAGAGGCCTTCTTCAGCCAGGGCAAGACGCAGCTCATGTGAAACACATGCTGAGGAGCACAGGGAAGCCGAATGCACAATGCAGAGCCTGGCGCGCAAAAGCAAATCGCGCATTCGATTGGCTCGGCAAGATGTGAATCCTCGACCCAACGGTGCTTGTTTTGAAGAATTCTCAGCTGGTCGTGCGAAAGCCCAGGAACTGCCTTCTTCTTGCCGTTTTCAGTGACTGTCACTGTAGTGAAGAGGTCCCCGCGCAAAGACCCCCAAGCTCGTTGGTCCTCCGAAAGAAGCCATTGCCGAGCTGCCTCTACTGGCCTGACATACTCCTTGGGAGCCCGCCAACCATCAGCGTAGCCTTCGACAATGTCTCCGGTCTGCCTATCAGCTGATCCATCCGCACGAAGCATATAAGACGCTGCACAAGCTGGATGAAAACGCCGATAAATGGCTGCACCTGTCCAAACAGTGACCTCTTCATTTAGGTCCCGCAGTAATTGCTTGCAGCCATAGCAGAAGTGGCCCAAATCATTTCTCTGTGCTTGCCTCTGTTTCACCGCCCATCCCGAGGAGCGCTTATTGGCCACCACTTCTTCCAAAGCGATGCCGTCCCCGACGAGCTCTCGCCGGATGGCCTGGTCAATCGGCGACGCCAGGGGCCGGCGACGTCTGTCCGCCGAGCTCTGCGACTTCGTCGACGACTTCGAGGAAGCGCCGCGCTGCGACGGCACGGAGCTCTGCGACGCGCTCGATCCGCACGGCACGGGACCACGGGGTCCAATTCGCAGCGCGGCCGCATAGGCGGAGGGCCGGTCGAAGTTAGGCACGTTGTGGATGATCGGCATGGAGGCCATCGAGGGGTTTGATTGGACTTTTAAGCTTGGAACAGAGGAAGTGTTGTGCGATCGAAGCTCAGGATGATGTTGCCAATCCAAATCGAGGTCAGCAGGTGGAATCCATCTACTTTGAAGTGGTGGCAGTTGCCTTGGAATGGTCTGAAGCTCCTTCTCTGGCGCACATTCCTGCACATGATGCACGTCCTCAAAGCTCATCTTTTTGTGAATTGGGCGGGAGGGAAAAGGAGGTGGATGTAAATGACCTCTGCACATCGGTGCATTGGGGAGTGTCATGGAGCTGTGTCCTCCATGCAGTGCCGCGGATGCGAGTGAAGGACTGTGGAAGTTCCGGACTTTTGAGCAAACATGTGCTGAGCGCCAAGTCCCTGGTGGAGTCCAAGTCTCGCGGACAAAACAGAGCTGAACTGCGGAACTCCCCATCAGGTGAACCCCACCACAAATTCTGCTGCTCTTACTGGATTCATTGTCACCAAAGCCATTCCAAACACATTGCACAAGTCCTGTGTTCTATGTTAGAGAAGAGATTAACACCTTAATCCTTATGCCTTATACTGATTGTTTGGAAATACCGCTAGCCGCTAACAGTATGTCGCTTTTGCATCACCAAATCATTATATATCAAATAAACAAAAGTGGGCGTTGATATCCGAGAAGTCTACTAAAAAAGGTCCAGTCCTGCCACTTTGGCTTGCCTTCTGAGCTTTCTTCGTGTTGTTTCTGTCATTGGGATGTGGGTCTTGGGTAGCATTCATCTAGTCTTGCTGTTGCTTCTGACGTGGGTGTTTGGTGGTGCACTAGTTTGAAGCACACCCAATTGGATGAGTGCTAGCCGAAGGTCATCTCTTTTCTGCTGGCTGTAGTCCCCTAATTCTCACAGACTCATATGGTAGTTAATTGGTGCATTAAAAAGTATATAAAATAAGTACAGTACGAATTAGTCTGTTGTAGTCTATGGTTCGAGCTTTTTGACAGAAAAGCGTGGGCGGCTCAACCCAAACGTGTGATGGCCGAAAGACTTCTGCGATCCTCTCCCCCTCCCGTCGAGCCGCTGCTTCTTCAAGTCGCGGCACTCCTTCACAAGGGATGTCATGATGTCATGCTTCTTCATGTTGCAAGATATTGTCCATGAACTTCCAAGGAATGCGACTAGAGAATGCACATCTAACAAACCCTCTCTTCAATACAAACTCCTTGAATCTAATGTCCCAACTCCTTGTATTTTCATGGCACCTCCCTGCCCTTAGTGTAAGTCTGATATGTGATCTGGGATGCTTGTTTGACATCAAAAGAAGCATTGGATGTCTGAATGTGACCTGACAAACAAGCATTGCAAAGGGATGGAGGGGACCCTTTCAGACTTCGAGTTCAAAAAGGGATTCGGATTCACTAAGTTGCTTGGATGAATCTTGAATCTGTCTGGTTTGAGGACCCCAAGCTACTCCCCAAGCTTACCCACCGTTTTCTTCCCCTGGGGAAGTCTACCCTGAAGTTCAACCATGTTCAAGCACGAGCCATGCCTTTGGCTTTCATGCAACCACGTCCTAAGAATCTACTGCTACAGTACTGGTATCCATGATTGCCTACGAGCCAAGGCTTTTAGGCCACATGGATGTGATACCGGTGCTTTGAACCCGAGACTATTGACAGTGCAAGATAGTGTGGTCCAATGCTGTGAAAAGTGTCAAAGACTCCAAGTTGGCAAAGCTACTTGCAAGTTGTCAAACATTCCGAAACACCCAGAAGTTGCCCTAAAATTCGGTTGGAGGGACATCGCTATTCAGTGTCCCCTTCCGAGTCTCACAGACTGAGTTTCACCCGACCGAACCCCAAGGCCTGAAAGATCTGCTCCCGATGCTCTCCCATGGCGACGGAGGGGAGCGCGGTTTTCGTCCGTGTTCTTTCGTCCGAGTGAGCATGGAGTGAGAAGTGAGAATGGAGTGAGATGGAGTGAGCTGCTTCGTCCGAAGTGGAGGACATCTTGATATTTGTCAAGGACATGTCCTTTTGCAAGGGGGAAAGAGATGTTCTAAGATCCATTGGCCCCCACGACCGCATCGCCCCGGCTCCAAAATAGCTTGAAACAGCTGCCACAGGGTGGTTCAGCGTTAGGCACTGCGGCAGTTCTCCCTCATTACACCAACTTATCTCTTCTCCCTGTACACTTCGGCTGAGAAACAACAACTCTCAAGGGACTTTTGTGTACTTCAAAGGAAACTCCAGGGGAATACCCACACATCACAAACGACCATATTGACCATGTTCTCCATGACCACCCGATCAGATCGCCTTCCCACTTGGATTGGTCTCCGGTGGATGACCGGGATCCCAGTATCTCTTCCCACCCAAAAATGGCTTGAAGACAATTCTCGAAGACGGCTGGTGATAGTTAGACCGGTTAGACCTCTCAACACACACCTGGAACCTCTCGTCATCGCGAGGCGAGGCCGCGCCGCCAGTTTGCAATTCTTTTCGATCTCCAGCGAAAAACGGTCAATCGATCGAACGCTGCTGAATGCGGCATTGTCCTTCACAGCCAAAGAAAACAAGATAGATCATATTGAAGACCTCAATTCAACAGTGTTGAACAAGCGCATGGTCTTCAATATGCTTCAACTCCCTTAGCTTTAACAAGTTGGGCAAGCTTGAAGGCTTTAACAACTCACTGCAAATCTCATGGCCTTGAAGGTGCCTTTGGAGGCCGGTCAGAAGAGGACCACTCCGTGTGGTAGCGATCACAAGCCTTTCTTGATCTCCATCTTCTGGTGAGAGCCACTGATCCCCTCCAGGGCTTCACACGGTGCACGTGCTGCAACGTGTAGGTGTAACATGGTGCAACATGTACGTAGGCGTGCCGTGTGGTGGATGAACTGGGTTGGATGACCCTGGGAAGGGGGACACCAGGAAAGCATGGCAAGCAACGAAGGAAAGCGCCGCAAGATCTTCCATGTACTCTCATCGACACGCAAAAGGTGGCTCATACACGTGGCCACAAGTCATGCTGGCAAATGCAATGATTTATATAGCCGACTGTACATTCGTGTTCTGGCATTCTTTTGTGCACCTTTTTTAAAACATAATAAGTACAGTAAACATCAATAAGCCTGTCATTCTGCCTTCACTCTGTCACAATCTGTAACAACAGTGTTTATGCCGTTTCATTATTCAGGCAATCAGCAAATTGCACAAGCCATCAGGTTAAAGTTCGATTTGGCTTGGCACCCACCGTTGAGAATACAAGCACGAAGAGCAGAGCTGGGAATCAACCTGCCATGGGTTGAATGAAGGATCAAAAGATAAAGTATCAAAAGCATCTAAAGCTGATTCTCCTTAGATATCCTTTGCATTATTGTCGAAGAAACTCAATGACTCAAGCCAGCTCTGATGGCAAACTCTATATTGAACTCCATTGGCGTCGCAGATCTCTGATGTCATGCAAACAGCCCTTTTTTCGATGGTATCGGATGCGCGGAGACAGCACACGCTTTTGCGTTGCTCGGGTGTGGAAACGGAGCGTGGCTGAGCACGGTAGGCTCTCCTGTGGCCACAATCAACAGGCATCAACAGGCATCACCTGATCTTATTCGAGGCTACTCTCCTCGTCGATGAGGGGAACAAAGGCAGCTGAAACGCGCCTGACCCGGTAAATCATCATTGTCACCAGAAGCACAGCTCCAATCGCTGCACCCACCCAGGTGAAAGGCACAGGGAACCTCCGAGAACCTGCGGGCCAGTCTATCCAAGTGTACAACAGCGTTGGTTGTAACTCAGAGCAAATGGACTTGCTAGCAAGCATGGTCTTCCCAGTCGTCACTGCAGCATCCATTGCTGCAACCACGCCTTCCAACTTGGTCATGTAGGGCTGAAAGGCCTGTTCAACTGTGAGGTTGCCTGGGTCTGCCTCCATCTTCGCCTGCACTCTTTTTTGCAGTTTTTTGTATGTTGCTGAGCTGGTTTCTCCTGCCTTCACGACCTGCTCTAAGTGATCAAACTCCGAGCAAAGAGGCTTCTTCAAAGCTCGCTGCTTTTCCATCAACTTCTCTTGGAAGGCGTCCACCTTGGCTTTGTCTCCACTCACTTTGGCTGCCTGATACTCTGGCTCAAGAGCTGTCGAGTAAGTCGCGTAAGCCACGTTGTAGTGTGCAGACAAATTGCCGATGCGCAAGATGGCCTTTTGCACGACGGCTTCGGTGGACTGCGCCGCGGTGCTCGGATCGAAGGCTCCAAACATCTGCCCCAAGGTCTGCGCAGTCAACTTTGGATCTGCCATACACAGAACGGCCCCCCCAGCCACATGCAGGAGGAAGCGGAGCGCCATGGGCTGAGCAAAGCAGGGGTCGACTTGCCAACTAGGTCGATCTTTCCGTTGAGCAAAGCTGGCTTCGAATTCCACGCGACGCTGAAAGACCACCAGTCCACAGACCTCCAGCAATAGCAAGCACTGGAAGATTTGGATACAAAGACTGCCAGAGCTTAACAGGAATTCTCTTGATTATGAAATTCTTCAAGGCCTTCAATTAGCAAGGGTGAAGGGTGGCCATCAAACATGTCGGGCTTGCAGTTCAACAATCGCAGGGACGAAGACAATGAGCAAAATACGACTCTTGGTGATTGTACCTCAACGCAAAAAACAAATGTGATGTTACGTGATACGGTCTGATGTTCATTGAGTAACATGATATAATATAGATATAATAATATATATAAATAGAGAGAGGGAGAGAGAGACTTTAGAAAGCTTGTAGCTACTGAATTTGACCAAAGTCAAGATTCTGAACCGCTTATCATGTTTCTGCTGACACAAACAAGTTGCAACAGCTGTTCTCACACCTTCTAGGCGCACAAGACAAAGCTGAGGACGAAGTGGAGAAGGACGAAGTCGAACCGGGAAGGCGGCAACGTGAGTGTGTCTCCAAAGAGGGAAGCCCTCCAACAAATGGGTTTTTTCTATTCTTTTCGAATGTCTATGTGTTGATTCTTTTGAGTATATGACATTGCCATAGGGTTTCCTGTTCTGAGACAAACCCACATAGAGGCCAAGCAAAGCCTGTAAGAAGATTAATTTGATCATCCCAGGTAAATGGAGAGGAATTGTTTGATGTTCCATCACAACTGGCACCTCAAAATTGCAGCATGCAAGTGCACATTGACAAACCTGCTTCAGTGCACAATGCAAGCATGAATAAATCTTGCCAAACATCACAAATACACATACACATCTGACATTTTGATTGATTCGGAATGGTTAATTCAGAACCACAATGTCCGCTCAACCCGAACAAATGACACTATCCAATTCCAATCCCAATCCCAACAGCCTCACAAACGAAGACAGGCAGATCGGCGTCCTCTTGGGATGGTCAAGGAGTGTCAAGCTTTCCTTTGTCAGGGAGCAAGGACGCTATTAGGGGCAACTGAGATGTTTTGGTCCAAACATCCTCGAGACCCGACGTTCGGATTTTGTTTTGGCCATGCTGCACGATGACCTCTTTGACTTAGTCACTTGTGATTCTATCTGTATAGAGAGAGAGAGAGAGAAAAAAAAATTACACCAGCATAGACCCAGATAGCTAGGCAGAATCCCACGACCTATGCGGCTGGCTGGAACAAGATGTACGCAGCCTGCACAGCCAGCTTACGGCAGCTCCACAGCAGCACCCAGCACCAGCACCGGCACCCAGCACCCAGCACCAGCACGGGCACCCGGCACCAGCACCAGCCTCCACCACGTGCAGCACCGGCACCGCCACCCGGCACAGCCAGCTCACAGCACCAGCACCAGCAACCTGTCTCCACCACGTGCACAGCCAGCTCCAGCACCGGCACCAGCAACCTGTCTCCACCACGTGCACAGCCAGCCCACAGCACCAGCACCGGCACCCAGCACCCAGCACCAGCAACCTGTCTCCACACGCGCAAGCTCACAGCACCAGCACCAGCAACCTGTCTCGAAAGCGCGCACGGGCAACTCATTGTTATTTGAAGTAAGAACCCCATAGCTTCGCTATCTGGGGAAAAAGAAAAATATATATATATATATGGATTTGCTGGTACTGATACAAGGTATGATGCCAGCCTCCTTAGCTGCATTCCCAACGATCCCACACCCTCCTGCTGTCCTTCCCGACGGAAGATTTCGACTCAGGTGCCACAACCTTCCTCTTCACCTGCTGCGCAAAGCCAACGTCTTGGCAACAATGACCCAACACGGACATGGGTTTCCCTTTCACACTGGGAATTGGGGGCAAGTCGGTATAACACCTCACGTCACTAAACGACATACCACCACAGGATACTTCAGGGACCTCCCACCACCTGCAAAAGGACCTCAGCACAGCCTTCTTTGCAAAGGATTGCTCAACCCGTGTGCTTAGGCAGGCTGGCTGCAAATACGTTCGAAAACAACCCAGCTGCTACAAATATGGTGGAACTGGCCCGCAGAATCTGCACAACACTTACAATCTGCTGTTGAAGCACAGGTTTCTGCGAACTTGTGGGTCCACAATGAAGAAATGTGAAGTTCTTCAAAGTGATATCATATTTAGAAAGGACATCTGCGCATATCTTTCAACATCGCCTTCGACGTCTGCGTGGAGATCGGTCGCCCTCATGGCCACTTCGGTGCGCCACACGGACGGGTCGCTCCGTCGCCACGCTTAACATTCGGACGCCTCGGGGCACGTTGCCGCACGTTGCAGCAGAGCGGCCGAAAGGGCGGGCTCGACCTGGAAAGCGAGGAGCGGTCTGCCCTCCTTTGAAGCCCGTGGCCAGCCGTGGCCCTGCCTCACTTAATTAAGTAGGCGCCTACTGAAGGGAGAAGTAGGCTACTAACACGTTCGCTCCTAGCTAGGACACAGAATAGCCCACGCAATGATTTGGTTCCTAATTTCTTAGGGAGTGCTCGACTTGGAACGCAAAGAGATGCAAAGAGATGCAAAGAGTGCTAAGCCATGTCGAACGTGCTGTATGATCATGCAAAAAGGAGTTAATTCTGAGGACAAATAATGCCACAATGAGGTAATTACACCAAATGCAAATCAAAGTGCGTTCGCGAGTCTCTCAGCCGCATGTTCAAACTTCAAACCCTCGAAATGTTCTCTAGGCATACGTTCCTGCTGTTCCTGGATCATTCGGCAAGAGCAGCGTTGGTGGGCTTGGCATTTTGATAAGCCTTTGCGCTTCACCTGCCTCAGCGTCGGTCTCCTGGCAGCGGCAACCAAGGACACACCGCCCAAGCTGAACGATTGCCGTCGACCCTTTTGGACGGGTGTTGACGAATCATCCTGAAAGAATTCGGTCAGAGCTGTGCAAAGCCCAGGATCCATCCCTGCGGCGAAGAGAAAGCAATCTTCCAGTGTATGAATGGTTGCCACCGAACTCAGAACCCTCAAGCAAAAAACATGTCATTAAGCTACTGTACTAGCCAATCGCATACCTTGAGGTTGTTTACCCTGTAACTACTGGACCATGTGATGAGGAGAGTTACTTGATCGGATGGGATTCGACGCTCTTATTAGCAAGGATCCGAGAAAAGTGCGAGAATGCACATGAGCAATGTCAATGCACCACATCTATACAGCCTTTTTTAAAGCATGCCCTTTTGGTATGCATTGACCAGTTGAGTGACTCCAAAAAAACACTTGACCAGTCAAAGTCAGCCATCTCAGCCCACCTGCCACCTGCTCCAAGGGAAAGAAGTCTTTTACCTGCAAGCTACTATATAATAGCTTCTTGCTACTGGTAGTAAGGCCAGGAGCTACTATTAGCGGCCTTGCTCCTAGTAGCGATGCCCGGGTTCCTAGTAGCCATGCCTTTTGTTACCTTGAATGTCAGTTGATTCGCAGGTATTTATTTTCCCTCTTTGGGGACCGCACTCAAAAGTTCTCCACATTGTGTGGGTGCAGACTCTGGTTGCTCTGTGCCATCCGCAAAGTCTCTGGTTGCTCTGGGTCCATGCACACGGTGATGGTGATGACGGGCACCATGTGTCTAATAGCTGATCGACCAACAAATGCAGTTGGGCCCATGCGATGTCCTGTCCACTTGGGTTCTCTACTCGGAGCCATATCATGCCATATCCGTATCTCTGTTGGTGGTGCGCCTCTTCCTTTGGTTGTTTTCGGAGAAGCTCCAGGACTAGTGGCACGTCACGCTGCCCTGCCTGGCACGTTCGCGCCATGGTCATCTGAACCAGGTCGATGACTTTTCCGCATTTGGTTCGAGAGATTCTCACCTCCACCTCTGCCGAATCGTGTACTTTGTCATGGCTCATTCCAAGTTCCATGTTCGCTGTCCTTGACTCCCAACCAACAGCACATGGGAAGCCAAAGGCTGCATTCACCGGGGGGTTGTTGATGAACGACCAAGATTGGACCCGCTAGATTTCAAAACTGGTAACCACTGGCCACTAGCTGATGCAGTATAATTTAGTCATTTGCCGAAATGCATCTATCTATCGAAGTCTGATGGCATCATCACATGGGCACCATTGCATGATTTCATCGGCCAGGAGAAGAATAACCATCTGCGGTTGTTCCTTCTAAAGCTACAACACTACAACATGCTGCAACTGGCAACTGTCAAACACCTCAATGGTAAAACTCATCACTATGGTTGTGTTTGTTGTGCGGGGAGGTGTCGCCTAGAGTCACACCCAGATTCCCACCCAAACAAGCCTTCCAGAGATTGAGTTTTGACCTCTGCTCTTCTTGAGCAAAGGTCTCGCTCCACCTCAGAGCCGAAGCCAGCTCAGCCAGCTCGAGCGACAAGAAAGGCCGTGCACACAAATGGTGCTGCAGATTGCAGATGTAAATAAATGGTGATGTGAGGTGTACTGTCAATACCAATTTGTCAACATGTACTGTAGTTATTGCCAATATGTACCATAGTACAGCTAAATGCTGCTGAAGGAAGACATTGCAGGAAGATTGGAGATAGAGTTTAGTAAGTAGATGAAAGTGGATGCCTCGAGCTGATTGAGCAGCTATGAAAGAAACTTGCGAGGCCTCCTATAAAAGTATCTTAAGCACAAACCATAGGTTCCTTTCGCACGTGTGCGCGCGATGTGCAAACTGAAGCCAGCCTCTCATTCTGCAGCAGTATCACGGTGGCCTCCCATGCCTCTCCAAGTGCGGACCAGCAAGCCAAGTCTTTGCGACTGTTTGGAAGCCACAGTTCATGTCTTTGTGACGCGTATGTCCCACAGCCATGATCCATGATACCATCGATCCACAAAGTGATTGGTTTGGGATGCCCACACCATATCACACCATCATCAGTTCTGTGATATCCCTCGAATCTGTTTGCGAATCCATGGCATGTCGGTAATTACCGTTCAATTGTATAGTTGCAGTGGCCTCGTGTGACATGAATGTAGAGTGCCTGCTTGGCAAAGGAAGCTTTCTCGCACAAACGCAGGAAGAAGGGCCTTGGCACTTTGATGACCCCGCATGTGAAGAGCAAAGCGAGAGCTCACTCACTCGCTCGCTCGCTCAAACAAACAAACAAACAAACAATCAACCAAACACCTCACCTCAGTGTCACCTCACCTCACCTCAGCCCAACTCAACTCAGCTCAACTCACTAACTAACTCACTCACTCACTCGCTCTCTCCCTCTCTCTCTCTCTCTCTCTTCATCGCTGTGCAATCTCTCTTCGTCAGTCCCAATTATTCCGGGATCCTTAAGAATGCATGAATACACCACAATCCAAGCCAACACTGACCAGGTGGCTTTGCAGCTAGGTGGCCCTACCATGCGGCGATATCTGAAGGCACCTGCGGAGATTCAAGAGCTGAGCGATCTGAACAAATTGTTTGGACATGTGTTGACCATAAAGAAACAGTGCTGCTCTCTTGGTTTCAAGATTAAAAAAAATGAAAGTGTCTATAGTAAATAAGCATCTGGAAGCCAGCCTTTTGGATTCCGATTTTGCCACCCTACTTTTGGATGAGTTGAATTGCAAACTGCAAACGAAGCTTACAATGCAGGAAGGCACACCAGCGGGTTGTTCTTCACTTGAAACCCATTGACACCAGGAACTGCCAGCATTCTCGAGTGACCTACTCAACCTGAAAGCTGAGAGGAAGGGCCAGCACGCTTGACTCGGTCAGTCCGAAGATTGCAGGAGGCTCAATGAAATTCGGTTTCAGGGGTTGCACTTACACTCTGAAAATTGATCTTAAAGTTATGAAGATTATAGGGCAGGTGCTTGAAACAACATTGCTGGCCTCATCCAACAGCGCAGGAGCCTTCTTGACCTGTGCGGTCGTCTCCGGAAGAGCAAGAAGAACGCGCTTGCAGACATGATTTGCAAAGGTGCCCAAGTGTTTTCTGTCGAACCCCATGTTCAAAGTACCAGAGACTATATAGTCTCATCTTGTTTCGGGGGAGTCTTCCACAAAATGAACGCCGTACGGAGGACAAAATGAACAGAATTCAAATATGACCTCAAACATATCCTTCACAAAGGCACTATTTATTTTTTGGCAACTTTTACATCCACATCCACCCCGGTAAAATCACCCGACCCATGACTGACCCCGATATGACCTCTGCGAATCCCCGCTTCAGCTTGGTCAGGATGCTGGTGCACCTGCTGCCATGGCTCGTGAATATCATCCCAATGCGCAGCCATAGCGATGTTGCCCTGTGAATGACTGCCTTCAACCTGTTTTCCAAAACGATTTCTTCTTGATGTTGCTGAGGAGCTCAGAGATGAAGCTCTGATCATCCGCAGCACCCAGGCTTGCAGCCTTCAAACAAAGCAACGTGTGAAGGCCAGTGGGGGGAGACTGGGAGACCTGTTGGAAAACCCTGAGCTCCGTGAAACTTGATGAAACCTCTGCCAGAAGGGTGACGAGTTTTCCGCTGGTGGACGGGATCCTGCACTGCCCAGTAGCCATTTCAGAACTGGCAGTGGATTGGATATCCATACTGGTGTTGTGGTGCAGGATCGAGTGTACCACTAGTAATGAGCAGTACCAAGAGCTTTTGCTGTTGGGAAATGACACAGGACATCGCTCAACAGCTGACCGCTTAACAGCTGACCGTTGTATCCAGCTTAAAGGTCGCTTGGCCTCTTGCAAAATTCTGAGGTCAAAAACTCCAGCTGCTTGCAAAACAAATCAAAAGAAGCTGGGCCCCAGAATTCCACGTGACTAGTTGATATCCTAGGGTTCCAGAGCTGCAAGGTTTTAGAGTGCCAAAGGAATGTCAGAATGCCTACATATCGCGCCCGCTTATCTGTGGAATATAGAAACCTCGACATGTTTGATCTTCAGGGCTGAGAACTGAAAGCGAGATGCAACAATCTAGGCACTAGTCTAGACAGAACTTTGCTGCAAGGTCGGAAGATGCGGCGTCCTTGATTGGGCGGCACAAACTCTTCTATTTTTGACAGTCCGCAAGTTCCTGGCCTCCTTCAGCGCATCTGTCAACTTGGCCATCAGGCGTACGCATCAGCAAGGGGACATGCTGCCGCTTAGGCTTGGAGTTGCACGTACGCATGGGTCCTGTTGTCGCTGGGCTCCGTCCCCAGGCACCGAACGATAATCTGTTCTGCGGGTTGCACCATCGGTCGCCTCTGATAAACAAGGTACACAGCCAGCCCGAGCACCCCTGTGTGATCTTCTTAGTCTTGATTTGGGAGCCCGAGCACCCCAGTGTGTGACCTTTCTCACCTGCTTCAATTCAATTGGTTTGCCTAGTGAAGGCACTGCTTGAGGCGGTTGCAGGCTGAGCCAATGGCTGACCATTCAATTAAGCTCTTCTCTTGAGGATTGGTTGGTATCAACGCTGCGTTCAAAATGGAGGAAACATCACTTGAAAATGTTCTACTCTTGGTAAGGCTGTACATGTCTACTGTTGGCTGGACATGTGCATCCACCAGGGGAGTCAAAGGGAAAACACATGGTGGATCCAGTGGGTTCTTGCATAGAATGATAGGTGGTGGGCGGTGTTGCAAAACATGCCTGGCCTGTACGTCCTAATATCCCCCCACATCGGTAAAGCCGTTTGTTGTGTTGCATGCAGTCATTCGCACAAACACTCGTGGCTTACATTCTGTGAAGCTAGCATGGCACCACTCTGATTCTGGCCACGGTATGAAAGAATCAGACGAAAACGCAGGTGGCTCCATGCTAAGTCCACGAAGCAAATAGCCAGACTGAATTGCACAGGCCTGTCCACTTGGCAGGTGGCTAAAGGCCCATTGGCATGGATCATTCGGCAAAGAACTAGCTCCAGACAAGGCTGATGGTGGCTTTCATGGGTTGTCCAATCAATGGATCTTCCGATTCCAGCAAGAGAAAAGTGAACGGATTCACTAAAGGAGAGCTTGTTGAAGGGCATGCATGGCATGCTTGATGGATAAAACCAAGGGACCCGTGATCCAATGAAACTCCCGTGATCCCCGGATGACTGGGAAAACTTAGGAAACAGCTTGAAGCTACATACGTCAAGATTGTTGAGCTAAGGAGGGAAACTCTTCAAGTTCGCAAGTAACTCCCACATCACACGTGTCGGTCAGCAGGAGACTTTGTTGATGTCTAATTCTGACATCAAGAGCCACAAACTCTGCAGGGGTCCTTGTAGGTTATCTTTACCAGCTTGCTCTGGTCTGCAGCCAACCTCTGGTATGCTGTAGTTCGCATCCAGGAGCACGATCGTGCTAATGTTCAGGGGTAGATGATCCAAAGATGCCTCAAATCCCGAGTTCAGTGACTTGCCATCTGAATCACTCCAAGTACTGTGATTAGTTCTGTGCAGCCACCACAAACTGCTCTGACCCCTGGAAGAAATGTGAAATATGGCCTTAAAACAAGCCCACCAAAGCAATTTTAGTTCACTCTTGCCTTGGGCTTAGCATACTTTCTTGGCACATCCTGTCCTAAGCAGCGACAAATATCGACCCCATCTCTTCAGCCTTCGTCTGGTCACCGAGCGCTCGCGAGCACTCGAATTGGGAGGCAGCGCAAGCCGCCCGTCATCGTGCACGTGCCAAGCAGATTTAAGGAGATTCTGGAGGAGGATTTAAGGTACCACTTTGGGAGGCTTGGTCTCAAAGGAGGATTTTCTGGGGCAACGGAGAAAAGGAAAAAGGATGAAAAAGGGTACTCACATTTGAAGGATTCCCATGCCGGTGGGAGGGTATGTCAAAGGAATCCAAAATGTCTTGGCTAAATCCGGACTCGTATGCAAGTGGTGATCCTTCAAGTGGTCATTGGAAGACTAAGTGAGATCCTTTTTGGAAGACCAACAAACTCCAAGCAGGTGCTTGGCATCCTCGGTTCAGAGGCAGCATCCTTCTCTCACGCACCAGCTTCGCTGTAGCGGTAAGCGACAGCGCCATCAACCTGACGATCCGGTGCCTACAGTCTCACGTGCAGCAGCTAGACACATGGTGTCCCGTGCACCTGGAGCTGTAATTGATATCATCCCAATCACGATCCCAATTTGTTTAAACCACTAGACCTTTAGCCATTCGTCTCGAAACGGTGAGGTGGGGTTGTCAAACCACCAGACCACTTGCCAAAGCCGAGAATCGATCAAGCAGGTGAGCAATCGATCGGTTCAACGCCTTTTCAAGCCCAATTTGGGACCTTTGGACCAGAATCGATCAAGCCGGTTCTCTCATCGAGCGAAGAACGACACTGCACAGCGTTCACAGCTCCCTTTCTTCTCCCTTTCCTTCACAGCGCAAAGCGGCACCGGATCCGGGCCGGGGCACCTGGTGAATCTTCGTGGTAAAGGACCGGAGCTTCACCTCCTCACTGCCACCTGGCCGGCACGGGAATGCGGTCAGCCCAGCCCGCGGGACGTCGGTAGGCTCAGGTAGACCCAAAGTTCGCTGGACCTCCTTGGTGACTCCCCCCAAACGCCTGCAGCACACACTGCTGGCTGCCAGATGAAGGATGGGGGGGTGTTCTGAACAGTTCTCTCAATAGAAAACTTGGTCCGATAGCTGGAAAGGACATCGACACCATCATGTGGGTAGGACGCTACGGCCAAGTAGCGTGACATCCAACCAAGACGAATCCCCAAAAGAAGCTTAGGAAGATAGACAAATCTGTGAGTTTGGGGAATCCCCATTTGTGAGACATCCAAAAGAATTGTCATCACACAAAAGAAAGATTAAATATATATATATATATAACAAGTTGGTGTGTCCCTCTCGGGTTCGCATTGCTCGTGCTTAAGAGTCGTTTCCTGTTTGCTCTGAGGAACTAGGTGCCTGTGTGTCAACAACACCTTGGACCTACCGACGTGACGCATCCGAAGCGCCGGTCAACCACCGTGTTGGCTGTGAAACAGATGTGTCAGTGCACATGACCAGCAGTAGACACAGCCGTACTTGGGATCCCACCAACGATGTACTTGGGATCGCTCTCGCCCCAGGCAGTGGGCACCTCAAAGGACTGCACAAAACAACTGAAGCAGATTGCGGAGTTCTGTCAATCAAAGCTTGTGTGAAAACCCTCCAGAGTTTCTGTATGTGGTGGGGACAAATCTGCCTGAGCAGCCCCATCGGCAAGTTGTTGTGGAATCTTCAAGGAAGGCAGTCAGAAGACAAGAAGCGTCAAGTTCGTTGTTTCTTCGTTGTTCCAGCTCTCCTTTCTTACGAATCAGCATCGGAATCATCAGAGACGTTTTGCACCTTGTCCCTTCAATTCGTGTTTTTTCCCCAAATCAGGAACCTTTTTCAAGCAAGAGGGGCAACAAGAACCAAAGATGGCTCTCTGATGCTCTCTGGCTCTACCTGGAAATCTCCAATCGGTGCCCAATCAGTGCAAAAACGGGCCTCGGCCGCTCGATCGGTGTAGATCAAAAGATCGAAGCTGCAGGGCCTCAGTCACCGAACGTGAGGAGTTTGGTCTCAGCGGTCGTCACAAAAGAAAAAGGCGAACGCGATCGCAGCTGAAGAAAAAGCATGCCCAAATTGCCAAAAGCTTTAATGAACTGTAATGTTTGACTATATGAAAATGCTTGAATTAAAGGTGGTTTTTATGTTTGACTGGGACCGGTTGCGACAAGGGATGTTCAGTTTGAACAGTGTTCAATTCATTGTGCTCATATTGACACCACCAACACACGAGAGGTAGTCCGCTGAGTCCGCTGGGTCTTTGCACTACTGAGGTCCCAGGTTCAGTTTTCAAACACCTTGCTTGTGCTGTGGTTTCTTTATATGCATGTCCAGTTCTTGCTGATGATGCGGGGCAGAAGTGCATCATGTAACGGCCACACGTCTGACAATTCCACATTAACAGAATGTGCGGCAAACAATGGCAAACATCATCTCCAAACCTGGACCTTTCTGTGACGAGCGCGTTCTGAACCCGGTGAGGGAGATGACATGGAAGCAGTCTCTTGGACGCCTCGGTGGGCTGTGCTTCCCACTCATCCAGCAATGGGAGGAAGGTCACCGATGCCGTGATCTGTCGGATGATGGCCTGAGCAACAGCGTGGCCAACAGCGCGAGTGTTCATCAGCGTGACAGCTTTTATCTCTTGACAAAAATCCAGGGTGCCAGGGTGTCCCAAGTCTGCCATCTCCCCACCTTTCTTTCTTGGGGATCCTGCCAAGGACAGGAGTGTCCATGAGCCTCTCAAAGTCAACCCTTGGCTGCCTCGGGCCATTGGGTTTGGACCTCACCACAACTGAGCGACCCTTACCGACCATCAAAGACCTTTGGAAAAACAAAGAGAGAGAGAGAGAGGGAGAGAGAGAGAGAGAGAGAAGATTGAATGTTAAAAAAACAAAACAACACACTTTGAGATCCCCTTGTTCACCACAGTCGCCCTGCACGTCGTCGTGCTCTATTTTGTCGCTCCACGTCACGAAGACGGAGCGACCAAGGACACGTCACGGCTTTTCCCCCGAATGACACGGCTGTGGCGAAAGCAGAAACGCCGAACGGTCGCTCTTCATCTGGTCCATCGGACCGATGAGAGGAGCCTTGGAGTTTGGTGGTGCCTCCGGCTGCGACATGCGAAATACCTACCACTTACATCAAAGACCACAATGAATATCAAAGAATCAGATGAAGAACGTGAGATTCGTCATGGTTCATCTGATTTCGGCTCGCCTCATCGGGGGTGCACAGAGAGGTTGTTTGGTGATTGATGGGTCACGACGGTCACGAGTCATGGGCAACGATCAACCCCCCTAGCTTTGCAGCTGGAGCGAGAGCACAACACCCATCAGAGCGCTCGTTGCACCGGCCACACCATCAGAGCGCTCGTTGAGGCTCGGCTCCTCATGTCATGCAGAGAGTAGACATCTCCGTCTCACTCGAACGCCAGGGACTGGCACGAATTCTGTCTGCAAGGCCCCTCCAGTGCTGAAACGCCATGCTCCTGATCACTTGGAAGCTCACACAATCATGCTACCGAGTCAACTCACCACAAAACCGTCAAAGGTACCGCTATATAAATTGCCGGCAAGCCTTCAGACTAGTGATTCTGACATTGTTCGTGTCATCAGTATGTTCTCCCCATTGACTAACCACAGCACGACGGCAGCCTCGCAGCCTCTCGCAGCGATCCGAATTCTCAAT